ACTCTTTTGGGAAGTTATACGAGGTCTGTTCAAAAAATAACCGAACTTTTTGAATAACGCGCTAATTGAGGTATTTGGTGATATGCGGTTGGCAGCATTGGGTTGCGCATAACCTCCTCTGAAACCACATGTTCTTGACTTGTTGATATTTCATTTAGTTTTCGTCTTGTTGTTTGAGTACGAGTTTAAATGTAAAATTTTGCGTGAACCTGGGGAAAACTTTCACGGAAACGTTTCAACTTTTGAAACAAACTTACGGATAGTACTCGATGTTACGAATACTTTTCACGATTTTAATAGTAGTCGTTAGTCAAATGAAGGTGATTCTCGATCAGGAAGGTCTTCGACGTCAACAGATGACGTTCAGAAAGTCAATGATGACCGAACAACAGAAATAAAATTTTGTGGACGTCATTGAATAAATCCAATGACGATGAAACATTCAATGAAAGGATCATAATAAGAAATGAAAGCTGGGTTTACGGTTACGACATTGAGACAAACGTTAAATCATCACAATGGATTGGCAAAGGATCTTCACGTACCAAGAAAGCATGTCAGTCTCGATCCAATGTCAAAGTGGTGCTCATTGTTTTTTCGACTTTAATGGAATTGTGCATTTTGAATTCTTGCCTCAAGGTGAAACAATAAACCGTGTGTACTATCAAGGTGTTTTGTAACGGTTACGTGAAACAATCCGCAAAAACAGACCAGAGTTATGGCGAGTCAGTCAACTCATGGTTCTTGTCAATTCGTCAGTTTTGTGCCAAAAATCAGGTTACTGTCCTACCTCATCCTCCTTACTCGCCAGACCTGGCTCCTTGTGATTTTTTCTTATTTTCTAAATTAAAATCAGAATCAGAATTGAAAGGAAGCCGTTTTCAGACTATTGATGACATAAAGCAAATCGCAGAGGTCATTTCAAATGAAGCTATCCTGGACTGCTTCGCGGCAACACCGCTGGTAAAGTTCGGTTATTTTCTGAGCAGACCTCGTATATTGCGTTAAAATACGAAAAATATCTATATTGTTGTAGCTTCAAAATAGTCTGGCAACAAAATTACAACTTTTCTGTTGGCAGTAGATATCTTTTCCATGTTCCCAAAGCATAATCATTTTTCATGCGTTTTTAAAATGATTATTAATATAATTGAAAACACTGTCGCTTAAGTGCCAACAAAATATCTAACTAGAATGAAAAATAGAATGTGTGACGGCCTCGGTAGTGTCGTCGATAGTTGACGTTACTGCAATCCTTTATGGGTAGGTATCTATGAGTTAATGATGTCAATAAAAACTTAATTTTTTCGATAAACTTTATAAAGTTTTATTACACGTAATAATAAAGTCATGACAAGCATTATTAGTTAAAATTAATTTAACACTTAAAAGCAAGCAAAAATTGGACGTATACGTCTGATAAATGTCACCCGAAGGTAAAAATGCACTTGCCAGAAGCTAGAAAGCTGAATAAACTTTATCAAGAGACTGCGATCTCAAAAACTATGTAACCAGCTCAAGGATAAATTTTGAACGAGATTGGATTTACGCACAATAATTGTATAGTAAGATTTAATACATTTTAAATCCGTTATAAACACAACATGTATCATGAATGGGTATTTGTGAGTGAGGCGAAGACAAATATTTTGCTTTACAGTCGTAAGTATACAAGCAGAACAGATAATAAGCCCTGAACTTAACATTAACCTACCTATACCTATCGGGTAGCGATACCTATACTTACTTAAACGTTTTGCTAGATAGTGTTTTTGTTAAATATTTTAAATAATTGTCAGTAAATTCTCGAATGCTTAAAGGCGAGTATATCTATCATCTACAAGCATAAAAAAATTACCAACATTAATCTTTCTGTCAAAATTTATTTATTTTGTTACAGATAGAGAAAATTTATGGAACAAAAAACAATATTTTAGTAATATATTTATTTACTGAATGACTGCATCAGGACCTGTTTTAGACGTTATTATAGTAATTAGATAATCTACCAGCAAAATGAATTAACGACGAATTAAATTAAGAGAATTGGGAATAAAAACAGGCTGCCGGAAAATAAGTCAATTTTAATAACTAGCCTCAACGTATTGGCTGCTTCTTGACGGAGATAATTTAAGTACCTACTTGATCACTCTTATTGGATCGTCAGGCAAAAAATAAGTAATTTTCTCGGGTACCGTAAGATGGACATTATATTCAATTACATAAACAATGTCCGTAAAAGTTAATAATAATATTGGCCGTCAGCAGGTGCAGGAAAAAGTTGCGTCGCTAATTTGTGTATGATGTTCAGGTCATAATTTCTAATGTTTTACGTAGTTTGGTCGTCAATAATATTAAGGTAATTTAAAAAAGTATTCCAGTTCCTAATCGATCAACATATTGCATTCGATTCCCATAATTTGTGGGACTTTTGTCATAATGTGTCTTTTTTTAACGTTTAATCAGGATGGTAATGTATTTATGAAATTGTCCAAGCAAAACAGGTTGCTCAGTCAATTCTTGGAAGGGTGTATTAATCATTAATTCCACCTTGCTTTATGATTACTTTGTGCTCGCACTAAGTACACTCCAAAGAAAAGTTTTAAGTTTCAATTTTGTAAAATAAAATTAACAAAGGTATAGCAATAGACTGATCATATTTACTTGAATGTAATTGTCTTCAGAGGTAATTTATTATCAAAAATTAGGTAATAATTGTAGTATGATCCCATTTGACAATTATAGGAAGTGAACAATATATTGTTTAAATAACGGTGGCAAAACAGAAGTATAAAGTTATGTTAAGAAATCGATAATCATATTCTAGCAAGAGACTAATTTCGGATACTATTCGACATCTGTTGTAGATCTTTGACCACCTCAGTCTCAAAATTTGATTGATTTATTATGAGGCATTAGGGGCGTATTTTTATACAAAGTTGCAATATAGCGACAAACAAAATTGTAGCTTGTGTGTGCAACAATAAAACTAGACATAATTTGCCAAAATATGTTTCATAACCATTATATACATATTTTCCTAATGCATGTATCGATAGGATGAACACATAGAAATAAAATTAGTAATTCGTCGATTACATCAATATCTGAATTTTAAATAATGTATTAAAGTTTGGTATTAATAATACTCAATTGATTTAGAAACTATAAACAGGAAAGGTTGAAGGAGAACAAGAACGTTAAGAATTTAATAATATACATTTTTTATCTGTTAACTGATTGGTTTCATTTTTAGTCAGATTTTGAAACCATGTTTTGACTTTTGCTTTAAATCAGACGAATGAATTTAAATATCTTAGAATATTTGATAATTTATTGTACACTTTAGGGCTTAGGTAAATAAAATTTTGTTAATCATCATAATCATCTTTTTTTTTTTCATTTTAAGTATTTTTACATACCTGTTTCTTTTTGTATCTAGTTTCTTGCTAGTGTTCAATTTTATTTAAAACATGTTTATATTTATAGATATGACATGTATGAATATATGTATATAAATTTATTAATATATAAAATTTTATTATTATACAAATTTTTAACGACTCCCCAACTTATGATACCGTATGCCAAAGGCAACTGTACTAAAGTACATTGTCTTTGCTTTATTAACACGTGAAAAAAATTAAATTAATAAATTTTAAGGGTTTAGTCCATTAATTTTATATCTTTTCAAAGATGACAAAATATCCAAATAAATAAAGTAAAAATGCATTTAAATTCTCACATTTGTCGCCATTGGACAGCACCCAAACCGGAATTTTAATTTTTTAAATCAACTATATGAAACATTAGTGACATTAGTTTTGTCTGATTTTACGATATACCTATTGGTTTGAAAACACCATTTTATTTGTCACTGCAGACGAAACGCCGACCATTAAAAAAATGTCTGATGTTTTTAAGAATTAAAACTTTTTACGTGATTCAAGTATTAACTAATATTGGTATGTGGATATGTTACTAAGTAAAATTTATATTTTAAAACAATTATTTTTTATCTCCTGACAAATGTCTATAACAAAAAGTAAATTAAAAAAATTACTAATCTGAGAGATTTGAATTATCTTTTAAAATACCTTCAAATTTTTAATAAAAATTATTTACTATTTTTCTAAAGCACTGTTTAGTTTGTGAATCTCTGGCCCTAACCTAATTTAGGGAAACTATACTACGGTTAATTTACATATTTCAACGAAGTAAACAATTGCACGCTGTCACGGCGTAATCATAAAAGTAGATAGGGACTCGTTTACGAAATTTAAAACCGGTACTATTAATAAGTTCTAAAATTCTAAACACAATGTTTTTACACCATTTCTTTCTCTTATTTAGCCATTTCATCATCTAAATCGGTACTGGACGTTGTAAATTGACCCCAACCGGTATAAAACAGTAACAAAATTAAACCGCGATTGATACGCACGAAAAGAAGACTATTATACGTTGTGAAGTACGATTCTGTCTTTGGAGGAGATTGCTGTTTCGCTACATTTTATTACATTTAATATAGTTTTCAGTTTATCGGTTTACTAGAAAATATTTGTAATACGATGGGTAATTTTGCGACTTTCTGCGTAAGTTGTTAGTATTTATAGGAATCAAAATAGAATTTGTACATGTGTTTTATTAATTTTTATTTATTTCAGCGTTAAATATGAGGTTTGACAACTATACCCGCTGAAACTCACGCTAGCAGTTTTTTGAGCAGCGTGGTATGAAAATTACTAAAGTTGACTTAAACTTATGACGAGGATCAAACCATGGCTCCCAATTAAAGTTACATCCTATATATTTTCCAAGTTTCTCAATCCTCAGACATGACCTCACCAAGGAGCACACACACACTATTTTTTTTCGATAGAGATTACACTTGGCCCAATTAGAAATACTCCACAATCCTTATCGCGCTAAAATATCAATAGCACGTTTATTCCCCATGTATGTACGGAGGGAGATGCGGTGTCAAAAATCGAACTCACCCATAAATAGCGTCCTTGTCTCGCTTCCCGACGTCGGGTACAGCGCCTCCCATGACATGGTTGGCGGTCGGGTTGACATGGTTAGAATGGTACGGGTGCATGGCATGGTTCAAATGCGGCGAATGATGTAAACCGGGCAAACTGGGCCTGTGGGCCACATGGGACTCGTACATGGTTGCTGCTGCACTGTCCATGTAACCCGGGTGGATACCATCGTCGTACTGCAACAAAGAGGAGATATATATTAGAATCCGGCTTCTTTTAATTGCCCCGAAATGCAAATGGTGCGGGATTTACAATGAGGTTCCAATCCATAAAAATAATTAAGGATTAATTTATCGTTCAGGTGTACACTTTGACACTGGAAATATAATAGACATTTAAATTTTAAGTTTCTTATTAAATTATTCCTCTTATGTGTATTGCAAACAGTACGTAATTCAAAAACATAAAAAATTACGTTTACTCGTTTAGAAAATCCTTTTTGCAATCATATTGCGCATTTAACTGAACAAATTCAAGAAATGCTGGATAATATTGAAGGAAAATGAAGATAAAAATACAAAATTATCATAGTTTAGTCAAATTACTTTGAGCATTTGACAATCCTCAAGAATTGGATCTAAAAATAAATAAAACTATTGTAACTTTAATATTTTAATGAAAGTATGCAGATAGTCTTTATGTTCTCAGTCAAAATTAAGAATTTTTTCAATGTTGAATGTACGTCTTCTTCAATTATCAGGTGATTTATGGCCGAAAACATTTTTTCTGTACCTTTAAACTAATCACAATACCTGTGACATATTTTTTTCCAAATCTTTTGCATTTGAGATTTAAAAGGTACCTATAGAATATACCGTGAAATGTGTAGGTCCTATAGCTCAAGAAAAATTTGAGCATATAGAAAAACTATAAATATATGCTAATTTAATTGTCTCAAAGAGATTTGAAAACAACTTAAATCAAGTAGTGCTAAGCTTCACATACCTAGATTTTTATATATGCAGACTATTTTGACGTAAATGGGTGTGATGTATTTTTGAAACATGACCGCATTAGTAAAGAATAATGAATTGCCTTATCTCAGTTTTTGTCTCGGTTTTTATCTCCAATATCTAAATAATTTTAGCAACAAAATTACAAGATGACCAATAACGTTTGAAGGTCATTAATATTCAATAAAATATTATATTATTTAACCGTCATTGTACCATATTTTTGTATGTTACAAACTTTCTCTCACGTGTTCTGGTATTTGCTTAAATTACATATTACTAAATTCACTTAAAACAGTACTTTTATTGCATATGGACAATGCTCGTCATCAGCGACGGCCGAAAAACAAATATTCTCCCATCACTAAGTATCTATCCATCACCGCAAATATATTGTACACATTATGTGTGGCCAATTAAATGAATTTAAGTCTGTTTTTAATCTGTCTTCAGGTAAGTTAGAGAATACAGAACTAACGTTCCATTTGGCCTTAGCATAATTCAGTTTTTAAATCTAAAGACATAGAGATACATAATAATTTAGTGCTAGGAGCTCTAAATATACTCAGAATACTTGTGAGTTGAGAAGATCATATCCAACAATTTTCGATGCATTGGAAACTTGACTGGAAATGAGCCAACCTTGTTTGGACGTACTGAAGACTAATGAGTGTACTTTGCATTATAGGGAAAAAATCAAAATCCTTTTGTTTGTTTCACGTTCGGCACAGCCAATTATGTTCAAGCCTTTCTAAATACTTAAGACTTGACAGGCCTTGTCACTAATTACAAAAGATTATTTAATGGTTGGAAAATCTCTACTTATATAAAATGAAGGCAATAATAATAGATAATTTTGAATATTATCTACCAAAACCGCCTAATTAGTATTCCACTGAGTACCAACTCTGAATACTTTCCATCTAGCTATAATGAGACGTTAACGAAAAAAAATTAAAATAAAACTCGAAAACCTGTCGCACATATTTAAATTCCTCGAAACGTAATACCTATACCTACTCCGCATCGACCAAAGAAGCTTAATTAAAATTTAAATTTATTAAAAACAAAATGCTAATAAGTCATGATTAAGCATAATTAAATATTTCGAAATGTCCCAAAACTAATAAAGATTTAAATTACTGCCGGTAGACTCGATACATCCTCGCTAATTAGGTTGTCTATAGGCAAATTGTTGATCGGATGACAGCTAGCTCTCAAAATTCTTAACTGGACCAGAATCCGGCAGAGATATCTCTACCATGGCCGCTGAAGTCTGATTGATTTTGACTGGGTGCTATGCCATATGGTGCTACTACAGTTTTCCTAACCAAATATTGAATCTATAAGCTTCAAACGGAAGAAATCTCTCTAAATATAACTACTAAAACAAGACGACTTCAAAAGGCAATCCTCAAAATGCTGAAATAGGTTAATTAATTTATCGTAGCTCAATTTCGTGATGGCCTTTATCCGGAGTGATGTTATAGTTATTAGAAGCAAGGATACGAGACAATTTCATTGAATGTTTTCATTTCAATATTTAATGTTTTCAGTAATTCATGGTGGTATGTTTAGTAACAATTTTGTAGAAAATTTTTTATTTTAAATATGTAATTCTTAATGACTGATTATTTTGAGTTTTCCCTATTACACCAATGGATTTGGGCTGAATTTGAAGATTAAGTACATCTTCTACAATCTTTAAAAATTGAAAGGTAGATCTGAAAAAGTTCAATGAAATTCAAAAATTAGAAGTACCTAATATACAAGATATTTTTTATGGTCTGTTTTTGTTCCTTCCTTTTGTTTTAAAATTTACACCTTATGACGTTTGCTACCATCTTGGAAAAATATTAGTTGCTGTTTGGAAGAAATTATATATATTTTTTAATAACATTCTAAAATTATTGTGACTGTCTCATTTTCCTAAAGTTCTATCCAATTCTGTAGAATAAAGTGATACCTACAGCAGAATGTTATATTATACTCCTTGATATTACAAGTTCCCAAAAATGATTTCAAGCATACTTTGTAACTTAGATCCGCATTTGGAATTAAAAAAACTAATATAGATCTAATGAAAGCAGGCAAAGTAATCAAAAGTTTGTGTCTCAATTTTAACAGTTAATTTAGAAATTAATGTCGGGCAGGATACTACTATTTTTTAACATCTATACGTTAATAAAGTTTTATGGTTTCTTGAAGCAGTCAGTAAAATTATTAGCAATTACAAATTAATTCATATTTGTTAATAATTGATTTAGTTTTATTACAGCGTAAAATAATTTATGAACGATAAAACGAACTATCGATTCATTAAATTAACAGAGAGTGCAATGGATTTTGCACAAAAAGATCCTTATTTTTGCTGCATGATTTGTTTGAATGCTTATAGGTAACTCGGCTTATAACAAACTATAGTTTTTACGTAATTTTTGTTCTAGAATACTAAAATGTAGACATAACTGCATGATGAAAAGTGTAAGATACTAACTTCATAGGTAATAAATATTTCACACTTTATTAAAATGTAAAGATTATTATATTAATTTATCAGATATTAATATGAAGCAGAAAGAAAGTACATATTTTAAAATTTAATTTCCTTCCAAATTTTGATCTTTATATCAGATAAGTTATGTATTCTTATTTTCAATATACAGAGAAAAAAATTAGATGTGATGGAAAATATATTTTATAAAATTTACAGCTAGAATTAACAACACCCAAGACGTGACTTTATATTTCATTTTAACAATTAAAAATGAAACCTGTCTAAGGTTTAAGTATATTTCATTTGATGAGTATCAGAAGATGTGCCGCAATGATAAAAATTTATTGGTGATTTTAATCCGGAAAAACGGTTAGAGTCGTTTTATGTTTAACAAACTTTTGAGCATTATTGTGTACTATTTCAGTGCAATTTAAGACCCTTATTTTACCGTGTAGGATATGGTCACAAAGACAATGCAGAGTTTTCATGAGAAAGTACCTGTAACCTGGTGCTAGTGAGGTTTTGAGTAGTTGAAACGTACAGGCAAATTAGGTACTTCTTATTTGCTTATACCTAACTTTTTTCTAAACTTATGTATATTTAATTGACACGAATAGCCAACATAAAAATACCGTCACGTATTTAGCATAAGCTTAAGGCGAACGAAAGCATTAAGGGGCATAAATATTTATAATTTTGGAAAAAATCGCCATATCTACTTAAAATTAAAATATTAATGGCCCGACTCTTTGCGGCTTAAATACTTCGGACTCTCCATAGGAAATATTTATCTGGACATATTAAGATTGTGAGATTAAAGAATAAATGGAATCCTAATATATTTAAGAGTATCTTGGAATTCGAGAGAAATGAAATATTTATGTAAATGACCGTGGTGTATAAAAAACGGACATTTAATCCGGTTTGGTGAAAAAATTACGTCGGTCCGACCAACTTGACACACGTGTGTGATTACATTTCGAAAATATTTTTATTTGAATCCTGTATAAAATAAAAGTAGCACCGATCCATCTAATATCAAATCACTATTAGAAAAATTAATTTCTAAAATATACGAATCTTCAAAATATCATTCTGGTCTGCTAGCTAGCAACTTTCAGGATTTTTTTGGAGTTAATAGGTAATTTTTTTATTAAAAATTTCCCTAACATGTATCGAACGAACAAAAAATATTGCTAATATTTATATAACTGATAAATATATATTCACAAATTGATAATGATTAATGATCACATCTCCAAATATTTCATTTTTTTATAAAAATTAATTACACCAAGTAGGTACCTTAAAACAAAGCAGTTGTTGCTTTTTGGCAAAAGGGTATAAAGCTAGTGTACAAGGGTCAAATGAAGTGACAAGTCTTATTTTTTTTTTCAATAAGCCGAGAAATAATTTAGATAATACACCTGTGTTAAATAAATGTGTTATTAATGCAAAATATGGTTTGATGTTTTAAATTTTTATAGTAGCCCCAGACGCATTTTGATTAGGTACGAAGTTTATTACATGAAAATGTATTCGTCTCATTTTCTATTCCTCATATTTTTATTCTTAAAATCACGTATGGACACTAATCAATAAACATGGAAATTTATGTCATTTTACGAAATTTAAAACGCTAGTCAGTAATAAAAATGCGGATCATTTTACTTATGTAGGCAGATATTAAAAAAAACTGACTTCTCAAAATATTATTTTGGATTTTTCCTTGCACACTACTAATTTTGGATCAGTAACCGGTTGATACGTTTTATATAAAAAAACAGGCATCACAAAATATAAGGAAATCCCTCAAATTCACTGGTTTAACTTCTATTAAATAGATTTGATTAAGATCTAAACTTTACTTCACAAGTAAAAATGAGGTTAAAGTTTTCTGATAAGAATTGGAAAATTGATATGAAAAGAAACTGAAAAGTGCAATATAAATTTTGAATTAATTTAGGTTTACCCTTGCAATAATTAAAATAAGTAGTGCACATAACACAAAATTATTCTTTGGAAGATAACAGTTGCAGGGTAGTAAGATACCGACATACTGCGACGTAATTTTTATTAGATAGTATTTCACATAAAATAGAGACATTTTAACACTGATGCCAAAAATTTAGGTACTAATGTACTTACATTTCAACAAAGAAGTAAGTATTAAAATATAACAGTAGTTACTCTTTTAGTTACAGATCTCAAAAGAAATATAAAAATAAGTTATTTATTATATTCCAACTTGAACTGATTTAATTTCTTTCTCAAGACGTGTAGGAAGCTTAAAAGTAACGCCAAGAGATGATAAATTATATTAACAACGCACATTGTGCTACAATCAGCGTGGACAATTTTTACTATCGTATTTGTTCATGCAAAAATATTAAATTATTGATCATACGTACTTGCAGAGGCGCTAACTTTATAATAATTTAATTGAATTATCTGCTGACTTTTACGGCGCGACAGCCATTATTTATTAATTTATAATCTAATAAATATCGTGTATTATAAAATTCTGCTAACAATGTACCTACCAGGTAGGTAATCCTAGTAGGTAGGTAAATTCATATTTTTAAAGTAATACACAGCAAATTATTTGATGAGGAATTAAAAAGTAAATTATTTGAGATGGACTGGATTCGTTCCATCAAATTGCCAAGTAATTTTGAAACTGTGTCTACGGTTAATGATATTTTTATTACGTAAGTTGGAGGTTGGGTTTTGAATAGCTAAGAAATCATTTTTTGGATTTTTGTGGGGCAGGCACTTATACACTGAAAATTTTGTAGGAAGCCACACTGGTATGACGACAGAAATATTAGTGAAAATGGTTATATTTACATTTTTCTGAAGAACATCCATGATGAGAATTTTGTTCACTAGCGTTTGTACGGCCTTATTCTATAAGAGTTACACCTAAAAATGATTTGTAAGGTAAATGATGCTGTTGAGCTGAAGCGAGGACATCCAAGGAAGCGACACGTTGCCACGGCACTGCACATCTCATCCAGCTAAGGGCACCACACTAACTTTTTAACAGCCTTTTTACGGCAATAAACATAAAGCAGCATATCCGACCGTGCTCCGTAACTACACAATTCCAGACCGTGCCAATTTTATAGGTAAATACGCTGTAAAAATGACAAGGCGTCCCAAATTTTTTACAATAAATCGGGAGACGTTGCGCGACTCCTGTGAGAAATCTCTGCACTGCGGTACTAGGTATCTAGACGAGGCGTCCTTTTTTTATGTAAAGCGACGGCATGCGGTGAAAAAGTCATGTCAATTTACAAACATTTTAGTTCGCCCGTTTCTGCGGTTATTCTATTTTACAAGCGTCGCTGGTAGCTTGGGGCACGAATAATCGCTCATTTGTCGTTAAACGTATTTTATATGGACAGTTTTTGGGGTAGTAAACCGGGCATTAAACGGTAAAACGTGGAGTTTTATGTAGCGCCTCCGGTTAACGCGTTTGATTTTGATTTTCCGCGTCTAATTGGAGCTACTTAAAAAATTAAATTATCACAATTTACAGGCAATAAAATAAATAAATGCTTAAGGATTTAAACGTCTACAGGGAGATAAAGAGGCAATAAAAATACGGTAGTCAACTTAATATTGTCAATATGTCAAATTTTATTACAACTTTCAAAATCGTCTAGCTCTTGATAAAAAACATTAAAACCGCCTTATCAGCCGTACCCTTGCTAATGTTTATTTACAATTTGTCTTAAGCGAAATTAAAGGTAATTTTTATAAGCGAGATAAGATAATATTTTCGGGCATTACGGCGGCTTTTGCGGATTACAGTATTTATTTATCTATACGTTTTGAGCTATTAACGGGACGCTACTTAATCGATTAAGATTTGCCTCAATAAAAATAAGGAATTAGAACGTAATTCCGAAAACTTTTCTTAAAATTATAGCTTTGTTCACACGCCGTATCTCACGGGATATCGCGCTTTATTGGTGACTAACTTTTATCAGCCGATTAGAAAGTAACCTTTTGTCCGAAATTTTTCAATAATATCATCACGGTGCTATAAATATAAATGCGATAAATACACAACATTTATTGGGTATCAGTGGAACTCAGTTTTACCTGATATGTATCATATGCTCTGCACTCGCGCGAAACAAATGCGTAGGTACTTTTGGCCAAATCTAAGGCTATAAACACTCGATCGACATTATTTATAAAAATGAAATTCTGCAAATATTAATTAATATTACCTAATATAAACCATTAATCTCGATGGCTAAATAAATACTGATTAGGCACTACGTTCAAATAAAGGTACCCATACTTAACAGTGTTAACTATAATTATGTGGGTTTATTTAATTTTTTCGCACACACTTCGCATTAGGATTATTATTTATTACCATTTTTGGAAGAGAACAATAACAAAATAATGAACTGTCGCTCAGTTATCGCATTTTTTGTACCTCATTGCAGATTTATTGTTGGAACTGGAAGTCGGGACGGGGCAGAAACTTCGGAATGAATCAATTTATTTGGAGAACATGATTATTATTTTGTAGGCGAAGGAATCTCGATAATATTTTATTAAAGAGTAATAAAAGTAGGGTCGTATCGTTCGCGAACGGAATACGTTCCCGCCCGGAAAGTTTTTATTGGTTGGAAATTTACTCTTTGTGGGGCCGTGAGGGTGCCTCAATTCGGTATTTAATAATACAGATATCTGCCGCGATATTTCACGAAATTTAAAGACGACTTAACCGCGAAATATCACCGGACGCATTACTAGATAATGGGATAAAGGTTATTTAAGTTTTAGTCTCGATTTTAGTAGCTCTAAAGCAGGAACTTGTTGGAATGGTTGTCGTCGTAAAATTTCATGGAGTACTAAACAGACGCTCGGAGCGGACTGCGTTATACGGCCCGAGTTTTTTTACTCTCTCCTCCAGTGTGGAGAGAATGATTTTAGAACGTCTTTTTAACAGTCTGCTCCGCAGTAAACTTTTATTGCCGAGGCGATTTAAATTTTGATTTCGATTTGATACCCCACATGTACGGTCTCACTCCGTTAGGGATGTTTTTGCCGCTCCGGGGTCCATTAGGATTGGGGTCCGACGGATCGAGAGTTTTCCCGCACTTTACACGAGTTTTCCGGTTGTTTCCCAGTTCCGATTCGCCTTCAGCCGAATCGGATGGCGCGCGCTCCGGCTCACTCATGAATAAACATGGAGGAACAGCCTCGATTCGAAAAAATACGACTGGAAAGGAGACGAATATCCTTCCAAACAAAGAGATCACACGGATAAATAGCAGACGGATGATTTTAATTAGGAATAAGTCCGTTTGGTTGGAAGCAAGCGACGGCAGACGGCACGCACGGGTCCTACCGATCGCGTTGGCCTCGAGAGACTTCTTTGTTGGGTGGATTCCTCGTAGCATTCCTCGATGATAATCCAGAATCACGGTGACTGGCTTTTTTCGAGTGGCATTTTACGGTATGCAATCAGGTAAGGTATCTGGCTGCAGCAAAGTGCCTGTTCATCGGTTTTAAGAGAAATTAAAAGTATTCATCGAAGGGATATAGTGCTAAACCGTAATTACGGGGTCAGGAATACGAGATTTCCAACGCACACCCGACGCGGACCGCTTCGATTGTCTATTGAAACATCATTACTCATCTTTGACCATTAGTAACTATTAGTCGCGAAGGCAGACGCTCATGTCCGAATTTGACCGTCTGACTAGAACGCGGATCTATTTCCATCAGTTAAAATCATTCCCATCGTGGTTCTCTTGTTACACTGTAGCCGATTCTTGCTATATCCGTCTAAATCACAACAAAATAATAAATCTTTTATGTGCCCATAACGTTTTTGGTTTTATTTAGCCATGAAAATTTTATTGGCTGTGAGAAACTTACTTTAAAAGATGGATATTAAAATTAATTTCTCAATTAAATTTATAGTGCTACCATTTGTGCCACTAGATTAAATTTACGCAGTTATTTTTCTCTCCAGACGTTGTGTATACAAACGGCGTATTGTACGAATTTAAAAAAATAGTGAAACGCGTCGTGGATTCAATTTCACGTCGGGACTAAGCACTCCGACGAACTCTTAATTCATTATTTACCTATATTTACTCGTTAATGGTACCATTAAAAGGCTATTACCCATAATCATACGAGGTGTATGGTTCTAATAAACGTTTTTTATCGCGAACGTCACTCACTGGTAAACAAACAAGAACGGGTATATTGCGTTAATTTAATTATTAGTGAAATTACACCAGAACTTATACGGCAATTACCAGAAATTGTAAAATGATAAAAACTTTATTTTCTTATTACGTTTTATTCTGTGGAAATGGAAATTCTACTACCAACTCACACAGAGAAATGCTAAACGGGAATGCGGTGCTAGCGTAAAAATAATGAAATGCTTTGGAGAGCACATTATTTTAAAATCGTTTACGGTGTATAGTTAAGAATTTTTATATCCCATAATTATCCTGGCCAGGTAGACAGCAGGACGCTCCGTAGAGCCGGCTTCCCTACCGCACAAAAAATATATATCTTTGCTGCCATCCGTTTTTTTAATGTAACTCATATTTATTCCGTCTATGCCTTTTGACATATTACAACCGTTTCATCATGCCAAGCTCGCGAAAAGCCAGCAAGAATTTGTCGATCTATTATTAACTCTTGGAAATACTTTTCTCTGAATATTGGCGGTCTTCTAACAAAAATACGTGGACGCCTTTGATTTTTATATTTGATGTATTTAACGTTTTCCATAAAACTTGTCATGCGTCGTCTCCGAACACTTGTGAAGTCAAAAACGTTGGCAAGAAGTTTTAATAAAATCTGCTTGCCAAACTGTTTTTTCGCGGATTCGAAAAGTTGCGGAATACCCCGTCTATTAATTATCGGGGAGGGCGAAACACAATTTTCCGGCGTATTCGACGAGCCAGGAAATAGAAGACACTTTAAAATAAATAATAGGTATTTATTTGTAATTAGAATACTCATTTAGACATACAATTCATTCGTTCCGAAACACTCGAAAATTGTTCAATGTGCCAACGGTGAATTTACACTTATTCAAGAAAAGGTAGCGAGGTGAAATTTCTACAATACTATTTCCAATTACGGAACTAGTATATAAACACAAGATGTAGACATTTTTTGTTCGAGATTTGATGGTTTCAGTACTCTTATGGACCGTGAAGAATTGCTTTCCAGATATTTTAACTAACTTTTAATGGAAGATTTGGTACGTAGCGCTATAAAAAGCTCTTGGCTTACGAGCGAGTACTGTTGAGATTTAACCGTTTATATGAAATAGTTTGTTAAAAAAACTATGAATTTCCTAAGATGTCACTGGTTTAATTGACATACAGTGCTTGTTCATTTCGACTTGGTGTAGGTATATTGTTGGCCTAACTATTGAAAGAACCGTAAAAGACTTTTCATATTCAATGTATTTTGAAGAATATGGGGATAAATATATCTGCAGTACAATTTTGATATACCAAAGTGTCTATAAAAATATTTTTAATTATTTTGGTACTCCAATAAATGTTGTGTATTCTTCTGTTAATTGAATTAGTTATTAGTGAACCTTATTGATAGCAATTTTGGATTTGGGGTTCGTTCATGTGGAGGAGATCCGGTTTTTATCAATTTGTGGCGTCAGGTCGGTTTCTAATCGTGTGGCTTGGGCGAGCAGTCGATTTTGCGGGCAAACGGACGTCGCTTGAATTTAAAATCTAAAGGATTTCCAAACGTGGAGAATTAGAATGTACGTAGAGGTTTTCGTAATAGAGTTGGCAGATGAAATTCCGATTGTGTATGCACGCGAGGTACGGGTAGCGTCGGGCACTGCATTAGAATGAACCGCGGCAATGTATCAAATGATTCGCATGTAATATAAATAAGGTCGAAGGCCTCTTGGTTGTAGCCGTCGCATCGCCGGAGCACCACGGCTGCTACAGAGTGCACAGGGCGTGAATGATGGATGTCCTCCGACGCGGCCCCCATCTATTAGCGGCTGATTGATGGCTACGACAAGACGGAGCGTCGATCAATCAGCGGTCGCCGGTGGATGGAGCGTCGCCGTGTCCAACGTGTCGCCTCCTGCAGCGTGTGTCGAGCGTACCCGTGGCTGAGCCATGAACTGCACGCTGCCCGCACTCAGGGTTGATGTCCGAGTCACTGTCGCGCACTGTTTACACCCAAACACTTTTTCGTCTCACTGCACTGTCACACTGGAAGTTACCCACGTGCTGGTAATGGTCCTCGAAGAAGGTACGCCGGCGGCGCATTCATGGGGTCGGTGTGGATTTCGTCGTTGAGGCTGTCGGTTGCGCCGTGCTGCCGTTCCGAAGCGCGTGCGGAGTTCCTGCGCGTTCCGCAGTCGTCTGCCAACTGTCAATCACGCCAGTCGAAGGGGGCAGAGTGGGGTTCAGATGAATGATCTGTCAGCTCGCGGCCCCGCCCCTCTACCAATGGCGGCGGACACGGAGCCCGCGCGCGCGCCCTGGCGGTTCGACGCTGCACTATTCTCTCCCGCCGAACGCCGACGTCCGACGCCGATACCCTAAAAAATTACACCGGCGTCCAAACAACCGGGTAGCGAGTCTCGGTGATGCCCCCTAGACGTACGTGCATCCACATCCGTGGAAATTACTGCCATGGAGTCAGCAAATTCACACGGCGCCATCACCAGCCTTCAGAAGAACCACGAAAATACTTGGAAATGCAGTCATTATGTTTTACGCCCAAATAATTATTCAAACTCTAAGGCGACGGTCACATCGGATACGAATTCGTACAAAAATTTGTTCGTACGAAATCGCATCTGCGGAATATCAGATTCAAACAAATACGTACTCGAATATTTACAAGTGTGAGACGTGTTTACTTCGCCTAAATGTTACGAATTCGTAGATACGAATCTCTGACGCGATCAAACAGTTTTGTTTTAATTAGTTCGGTTCGTACATCATACTAATAACATGAGATGTGAAAATTAAGTGTAGTACAAAAAACAGATTTCACTTTCTCTATTTGTCACGTCATGTCACCATGGAATCAGAAATGTAAGTAATGTCATAGTGTTGAACAAATTGGATCGATTTTGCTGTACTTAAACTTTAACAATGAAGTAAACATGAATGTTGTCGAACCGCGATTTCATATATCAGTTCATTTGAATGATTTGTTAAAAATTTTTGTGATCTATTAGTACGAAACTAACAGATTTTCGTATGTGTTCGCATCCAGTGTAAACTCCGCTTAAAACGGACATAACTGATGACGCACAAATAAATGCTTTAATTTTTATAACTGTGGTCATTAGGTAATGCACGAACTAAAAATTGGATATATTAAGACTGAATCCAACAAAATTAGATTTTAAGCAATTATGAAGCGTCAAAAATTCATGTTTTGATTCACGGCATTTTTTGTTGTTTAGGCTGAAAATGCTATTTTCGCCTCTTACTATGAAAATTAAAATGCCATCTTCTATGGCAGCGGACATTTTTAAAAGAATGGATGTGTTGCTACGTGGAAACAGTAATTAATTATTTATTTATAGTTAATTTTGATTTAAATTCAACATGAAATAATATATGAGTAGAAACTCGACATAAAACATATTTTTCTTTCATGAAAAACGTGCGCGTCATATTTTGTTGCAAAATATAAGTAAGTACTATTATTTTGAAATTGTTGTTATTATATTTTCACTTTATTTTTGATAGGTCTAATTACAGCTACATTTTGTAGTAAGTAGGTAATTGTTACAGTCGTTCTGTGTTAAATTTCTAAAACTTTTAATCAAATGTATCTACAATACTTATGTAGAAGGAAAAAATACATAAATTATGTAAGTACCTACTATTTAAGAAATAATAAAAATGATGCTTTAGGAACCTTCACGTGCACTTCTTATTTCATTGAAGTATTTATTGGTACTAATTGTAAGAACTTAAGGGATAACTATATATTCTAACTTATTAAATATCTAGATATGTATTGTAGTTTTCCTTTTATCTAAACTCTTCATTGTTCCATGCCATAGGTACTTGGATAATTATAAAAATAAAAAGTCAAAGGAAAAGTTAGGGAAAGTAATAACCTTCTTCAAAAATTTGCAAATCGAACGCCAGTAATTAATAGAAAACATCTTAGTTGAATTCAACTATTATTATTATTATATTCAGCTAATATTTAGTTAATTTTAATAGGTAGTCGAATTAATTATTCAGAGAAATTCTAAGATAGATTGTGTAGGTGTATAAAACTAGTTTCTGAAGGTTCTGAAAGTAACTTTTACTTTTTCTGAAAATTAATAACAAATATGTGGGCGGATATATCTTCGAACGTCAATAATTTCATTAATTTCACACGATTGTCATATGAAACAATCCATTTGACTTTAGAACGTTTTAAAGATGTTGATTTCTTTGTTTGAAACACTCACCTACTAATTTCAATAAACATTAAAATAAAACAGTTTCAATATCCGCATAATAAGCTAGTTATTTTTATACACCGATTTATCAACTTTTCTTTGTTTTTAAATGTTTATCAAGTAGATAGTGCCACATAGAGGTATGCACAATGTACATATAAATGTATAGATATACCTACCTACAACATACTTGAGCAAATCTTAAAATAAAAAATTACTTGTATTTTATCAGAAAACTGAAGTTTACTGGTTTTTTGTTTTATTGTTTACATTTTCAACCAACAGAATTTTTACCGTCGCAGTAAAAATTTTTTTCAGAAGTAATATTTTGTATCCACTAGCAGTTAATGACTAACTTATAGTAGAAAATAGAAAACATACTCTAATGTATGGATTAAATTCCCGATCCATTCCATATTTACTTAATAACGTTATAAATCTGCCTGTTTCAATTTAATGCCAATAATAGGTAATTGTTCGAATATAAAATGTTTAGTTATATAAACTTAAAACAACTCTGTGTCCTGTCGTCGGTGGCGCATCACCAGTTAACGACCATGCTGCCAGATAGATATACTACTTATTCGAAAACATATGTTGGAACTGATTCATTATGGTAATTACTAATTGGCCGATTAATTACATTAATTTGACCAAGATTTTAGACCATTCGTTAAAATAATCTATCCCATTTACAACCAAGGAGAAATAATATAAGTGTATATTTTATTTTGATTTTATAATTAATAATAATATGTTATATATTAACACTGTTTTAATTGAAAAACTACCCATCTGGCGAGAAAGTAAATGTCTTCATATGTCCACATTATAACTCAAATGTACCTAATACTTAAAAAAAAAATGTGATTGTAATCACGATGTTCTTTGAAGTGTCTTGAGAATATATACCCGAATTTATCCTTAAAATTTCTCACTGAAAATAACTATATCGTACTAAATTTATTTATTATTTGAAATATGGTGGAAAAATAGAAATTGAAATATAAAATTTTAAAATAAGGATTTAAAAATACCACATAGTTCGTTTTGTGTAACTATATATTACAGTTTTCTATTGAAACGTATGTTATAATAATAATATTTATGATACATTTTTATTTATATATTCTAATTGTTTACTATTGGTATTTAAATTATAAACAAATTAGCTCTTAGGAAATTTGCAATAATATAACTTCTATTTCTATTAATATAGTATATACGGTATTATAAAATATATAAATATTTAAAAAGATGTAGATAATTATACTTTATAAACTAAGTATTCACGTGCTGTATCAACTTGAAAAAATTTTTCTAAAATGTACCTACATTATAAAGCACTTAATCGCTATTGACATTCTTTTGTTTTAACTCTTATCAGAACGATAATGACTCGCAAATATCATTATGAAAATATACCGGCTTAAATTATATTTCGATCTAAAATATGTTTGTGTAAATTTCGTTACAAACAGAACCTTCTATTAGGTACCTATAGGTACAATTTTAGCCAACTAACATTCAAATTATTCTACGTCTTAAACCGGCGATTGTGGCAACATTGTAAATTTTACCAGATTTTCTAGTATTACACATATCAATTTTGTTTAAACAATGATTATACAACATTACGAAAACAATGCACATACTTATACGAAGTATGCAATTTTGATATAAAACACAAACAGTATGCAATTCTTCGTGTCATTGCATATGTCACTAACATTTTGCAGCTCACAAATACCTACCAATAAATAAGAAATGTTAACACTATTAATATTTTCCTCTTTTTGAAGCGAATCCATTTATTATGATTTGTTTTGTAGTATTATTCATAGCCATGATGGACACCACAAACAATACTTAAGAAGTCTGCATATGTGGCAGAAATGAAACGCACTGACAAAATATAATAAAATAAAGTCACGGTTATAACAATTCATCAAGATCTGATCTGTATGATATATTTTTTGGAAAAACATGTTTTTGTAAAAATTTTATAACAAATACTATTTTCTTCTACAAACACAGAGGTATATTTAAATTATAGAACTTAATAGGACAATATTAACAAATTCATATCGATTGCGTACCTGTCTTTACAGCTGTTAGAACTGGCCCTAAAGTACTACCTTGAGGCTTACCTAAAGTTACACAAAAACTGAATGTCTATGTGAACACTTATTTAATTGTTTTTATCAATGTCAAAGTAAAGGATAATCATATAGGCAATGAAAAATGAAAGTGTGTGCATAAAAGTCATCTATATATTGCTTGTTGATATAAGCCAATAAGATTTGAGAGTAGTTTTATAAACGTATTTTGCCACACAAAGATGTTACCTTCTTGTTGAACTAGTTAGCTTTGCCATTCTGCTTCTTGAAATTTACCTACCTGTGGGTACGGAAAAAATGTTTGTAATTTAATATATCACCGCAGAATTGATTTCTTTTACCACATTGTTAAGGTAGTTAAAAGTAGTACATAAGCAACCAATAGTTTTCTTTAATCAAATTAGTATTTATGAAGAAAACAACTTGGTGTTCGTTTTTTAAAAGTTACAAAATTTTTGCGGATTACCGTACAAAATTGTTTCAAAACAAAATTAGAATCTTCGAAGGACCTTGCTCGTAAACTGTTTGTGGTATAAAATGAATTCTGGTGTCGGTTGTGTTATAAATTCAATTACGTAGTTTTAAAATTTATTACCGCTGTATACGTGGTGTAGGCACTATTATCATTATTTAAAAACAGATTTCATATGACGTTAGGATGCATTAAAGATTCCTTATCCTATTCATTCATGAGAGTATAAGTAATATAAAATTTATGTCATTATTATGCTTATTATTCCTATAATAAAACGCTATATTTGAAGATAATAACGTTTTTATCGTCACTGTGGATTCTCAGATCTCTCTAGT